AATCAAATTCAGGCCCTGCAAGTACAGCAAGAAGCACTGACGGAGGAAGAAACAAATTTTTCTAGCCTCATTAAATCTGCAGCCGGTATATTCTACGTATATCTCGTGTTTTTAATTTGTTATTTGCCTTATTCTATCACTTTGGCCGCCTTTAAAATAAACGGCCCAAGTATCACTTTGAAGAAATTGTTTCTTTTTTCACAAACTCTTGTATTCCTTAATTAAACTTTGAATCCTGTAATTTACTGCTGGAAGATGAGACACATTTGACGCGCTATCATAAACACACTGCGGAACACGCTTTGGCTCCGAAATCGCGTATCACACCGAACGCTTCCATTAGCCGGCCATACTCTGCCATGGTTCTCGCACCGCGGACACACAGGCTACAGGAGGACACAGGAAAACGCATTTAAACTGGTTAAGGTGATACTTTCAAATACTGAAGAAACCATACTTCAAAAGGATGTGATATGTATAGCTTATGAATGGAGTTTGATGTACATATGTAGTAGTTTATGATTACGAAAAAAAGCAAATAGTAAGTAACTAATTTTGCAGAGATCTTCAAACTCAAGGAGAATATGTAGTATGGTTTGTTTTTTAATTAAAACCAGTTTGCTTTCAATGTTTAATTTTGTTTCTGCTGATAAAGAAACTGGAAGCTGAATGCCTGGATCGTACATTCGTTAGATTTGTTGTTCACTGTGTCCAAAACAAAATTAAGGGGTAGATCAATTAAAGATTCAAAGTATCATCGAAATAAAACTGGTATTGCCCTGTTATGCAAATTCTAAACCATTGATTGATAGAGTTTCCTTGGCCTTTGTTTGCAAAGAGACAAATGGTTCCTTTTGTTTCTTCATTTTGAACAGGTGAAGACAACACGAACGTCGCAATAAGTTTTCAATATATTAATAAGACCATTTTTAATTTACAGACATGTTGCGGCGAAAGCTTCTGCCATCTCCTGTGCAAATATTAAAGGAGGTGGAAACTGAATATAAATGATTAGTAGATTCCAAAGAGTACGTACATCTTGTAGTCAATTTTTTTGAGTCATTTAACTTTAATGTCAACTAAACGTG